GGCACTATTCCCCCCACTGACACCTATGATGGGGCACTATTCCTCCCACTGACACCAATGATGGGGCACTATTCCTCCCACTGACACCAATGATGGGGCACTATTCCTCCCACTGACACAATGATGGGGCACTATTCCTCCCACTGACACCAATGATGGGGCACTATTCCTCCCACTGACACCAATGATGGGGCACTATTCCCCACTGACACCTATGATGGTGCACTATTCCTCCCACTGACACCAATGATGGGGCACTATTCCTCCCACTGACACCAATGATGGGGCACTATTCCTACCACTGATACCAATGATGGGGCACTATTCCTCCCACTGACATCAGTGATGGGGCACTATTCCTCCCACTGACACCAATGATGGGGCACTATTCCTCCCACTGACACCAATGATGGGGCACTATTCCTCCCACTGACACCAATAATGGGGCACTACTCCCCCGACTGACACCTATGATGGGGCACTATTCCTCCCACTGGTACCAATGATGGGGCACTATTCCTCCCACTGGAACCAATGATGGGGCACTATTCCCCCACTGACACCTATGATGGGGCACTATTCCTCCCACTGACACCAATGATGGGGCACTATTCCTCCCACTGACACCAATGATGGGGCACTATTCCTCCCACTGACACCAATGATGGGGCACTATTCTTCCCATTGACACCAATGATGGGGCACTATTCCTCCCACTGACACCAATGATGGGGCACTATTCCCCCCACTGACACCTATGATGGTGCACTATTCCTCCCACTGACACCAATGATGGGGCACTATTCCTACCACTGACACTAATGATGGGGCACTATTTCTACCACTGATACCAATGATGGGGCACTATTCCTCCCACTGACATCAGTGATGGGACACTATTCCTCCCACTGACACCAATGATGTGGCACTACTCCTCCCACTGCAAAATTACAGTTATGAAGTAGCAACGAAAATAATTTTATGGTTGGGGGTCACCACAACATGAGGAACTATATTAAAGGGTCGCAGCATTAGGAAGGTTGAGAACCACTGCTCTAGAGGTTGCATAGGCAGTCCAACTCTTCCAGGATGGAGCATCAATACGTGCCATTGCCAGAAGGTTTACTGTGTCTCCCAGAACAGTCTCAAGAGCATGGAGGAGATTCCAGGAGACAGGAAGTTACTCTAGGAGAGCTGGACAGGGCCGTAGAATGTCCTTAACCTATCAGAAGGACCGATACCTGCTCCTTTGTGCAAGGAGGAACAGGATGCGCACTGCCAGAGCCCTACAAAATGACCTGCAGCAGGCCACTGAATATATACTTCAGCTTAACCACTTCCCGACCGGCCGTTGTATATAAACGGCCAGACGGTGGCACTGCAGGGTCGGGTGGCCGTCTATAAACGGCCTCCCCGCACCCTGCTTGTGCGCGCTCCCTCCGGACACAGTGAAACACTGATCGTCGGACGGGACCTCTGTACGAGCTCCCGATCATGTCATCAGTGATTGGCCAATCAGTGATCACATGCAAAGTAGTAAGCAAGATGTCACTTCTGACATCATTGCTTACTATGTGTGAAATCTGTGAATGATCACAGAGGTCACATGGTACAAGGCTATTCACAAAAGCCTTGTACCATGTGACAAGCTGTGACCAATCACAGCTCACTCAGTTTTTCTCAATGAGTGCAAGAATGCACACAGAGAGAAAGAGAAATGATTGCTTTTACATCCTATATGGGTGTAAAAGCAATCAGTGTAAAAAAAAAAAAAAAAAATCTTCATCACCCCTCACAAGTAGTACAGTGTCACCATGGTGACACTGTACTGCTAGGGTGACAGTATGTAAAAAAAAAAAAAAAAAAAAAATAATAATATAAAAAAATAAAATAAAAATGTAAAAAAAAATGTTTAAAAATTATAATTTTTGCTTATAAACTAATTTGGATTTTTTTTTTTACTAAAAAGATAAAAATTTTGGCTAAGATTTATGATGAAATATTATTTATTTGCAAAATTTTATAAAAAAAACACTTTTTTTCAAAATTTTTGGACATTTCATTTACATAGCAAAAAAAATACAAATCCCAGTGGTGAATAAATACTACCAAAATAAAGCTTTATCTATCTCTAAAAAATGGTAAAAAATTCATTTGGGTACAGTGTTGCATGACCGCGCAATTGTCATTCAAAGTGTGATAGCGCTAAAAGCTGAAAATTGCCCTGGTCAGGAAGGGGGTAAAAGTGTCCGGTCTGGAAGTGGTTAAGGAGACATAGGGGTCTATTAGACCCCTAATCTTACCTCTGCATTCTGAGAACAGATTTCAATGCATGTATAGTATATGTAGGTGTGATCGGTTGGCTTTACAGTTGATCAAATCACTTCTACAAGAAAACTGGCAGGGACCAAAGAAACTTCCAGATGCTCCAGTAGCTTTTCTTACATACTGACACTGCCCTAGCTGTAACAGCTATTGCGACAGCAGCAAAATGGTTAAATACAATATTCCTATTTATATATTAACTTTATTTAAGTTACGTAACACAGTCAGTTCTGGGCATTTGGCCAGATTATCATTTTGTATCACCACATGCTTGCCTCACAAAAATCCATCTTTTTTTATTTAAAGGATCAGTTCACTTTCGTAATATGTTACATGTTACACCCATATTTAGAGTATAACATGCTATGAATAGACTGGCCTCCGCACCCCCTGATCCCCGTTGTGACAGCTACCAGGGGATCTTCCCAACCCCACTAGTTGTCACAATTTAAACAAAAACGACTGCACAGGGTTCTGCCTGCCTGGCCGTGTCACTCATTCACAGCGTTCTGTCAATGATAACACTACAAATTTGGACAGCCTTTGCGGCTGTCAGCTTGTAGTTCTCAATGTACTCCCATGGTGCTGTGGAGTGCCATGGTAATTCAATGAATATTCCTGTCTGTAAATCTGCTTGCCTGTACATCCTGTATGGGCAAGTAAATATACTCACAGGCAGGGGCGGACTGACAACTCATGGGGCCCCCGGGCAATAGGGGATCATGGGGCCCCTGTGTCCTTGCCCAAACTCACAAAAGCCTATGAAAAAGGTACCAGGGGCATCTCATGGGGCCCCCTACTGACCCCGGGCCCTCGGGCAGTGCCTGAGTTTCCAAATGGTTGGTCTGCCCCTGCTCACAGGTCTGCAGGAGACCTGCATGGCATCAGTGGTCAGTAGAACGCTGGTGCAATGCTTTACAGACCCCAGAAACAAAAAATAAATAAATGCCCATTTCTTAACCTGCAAAATAATGTGCAATTATTATTTTATGTTAAAAAGTGAAATTATCCTTTAAACATAACCTTATATTAATTATTGGATATGGCTACCCCAAACCTGTACTAAACTTTGGTCAATAATGGACAATACACAATGGTCAGTTAGGTAGCCAATGAATTCATTTTTTTTCCTTCAGCCAGCGGGTTGATGGAAAAAAAATATGACTCAATTCCCCCATCCACACACTTGACCTCCCCACTGAGCTATTGTACTCTGACAGCAGGGAAACTTCCACACCATCAAAATACACTGATCAGTGCTAATGGCTATTGAGCAAGAAAAAAATCCAACAGGGTAGTTGTACAGAAGTCAATCGGTATATCAACTTCTGTACAACCACCCTGCCCATACATGGATCAAAATTCAGCTGGTCCTTGTTGAACCGGGCATATATGGTTGGCTTTGTATCAAACTTGAACCATGTCGACCACACTTTTCAGCACATATTATGTAACCTACACTCATGCCGTGACCTCCAGTAGTTGTAAAAAAGATCCTTACCACAAAGCAAATGCTTATAAAAAAAACAAAAAAAACTTCAACATATTTTAAAATATCTAGCTGAAAACATGAAATGCGGGGAGTATAAAAACTATTGGATAATGTTCTTTAGGCTGTTTTTTGTTCTGAACAGTGGCATATTGCTTTGTTATAGAAGCTTGGTATGGAACATTTTTGAATAATGTGTTGGATATGTGGCTTTAGCACTTTTTCCATTAGATGCTTTTCCCTTGGTACATAACACACTTGCAGTGAATGTTCTCTGCAGAGCTTGGAACAGTTTCCTTAAGAAATAATAGTAGTAAAATGTAATTTTGGTGAAGCAGTCAAGTTATACCTAGCCTTTATTGCTTAAAATATAATTTAATTTTTAATTTTAATTTGTCATTTTAAAATGAATTTCATTTTAATTTTTAATTTCAATTTTAATGTTTTAATTTTTAATGTAATTTAATTTAAAATGTAATTTAATTTTTAAAATGTAATTTTTTTTATTAACAAGGGATATTTATATCTTGAATTTTTGAAGGGCCTGTACACTCCAGTACAATATTGAACACAAAAAAATTAAAACAGTTTTAACCACTTGCCTACAGAGCACTTATATCCCCTTCCTGTCCAGGCCAATTTTCAGCTTTAAGCGCTGTCACATTTTGAATGACAATTGTGCGGTCATTCAACACTGTACCCATATGAAATTTTTATCAAAATGCGTCAAAAACGCAGCAAAAATGCATAACATCCTTTTCTGCAGCATCTCCATTGAAGTCTATAGATCCAAAAATGGAACTTTTTGCATTTAACCACTTGCCTACCAGGCACTTTTACCCCCTTCCTGCCCAGGCCAATTTTCAGCTTTCAGCGCTGTCACACTTTGAATGACAATTGAGCTGTCATGCAACACTGTACCCAAACAAACTTTTTAGCTTTTTTTTTTAGACAGATAGAGCTTTATTTTGGTGGTATTTAATCACCTCTGTTTTTTTTATTTTTTGCTAAACAAACCAAAAACAACTGAAAATTTTGAAAAAAAAAAAGGTTTTTCTTAGTTTTTGTTATAAAAATTTGTAAATAAGTGATTTTTCTCCTTCACTGATGTGCGCTAATGAGGCTGCAGTGATGGGCAATGATAGGCTACACACTGATATGTGGCACTGATGGGCTCTGATAAGGATGCACTGGTAGGTGGCACTGATGGGCATTGACAGGCATCACTGATGGGCATTGAAAGGCAGCACTCATATATGGCACTGATAGGTGGCACTGATAGGCGGCACTGATAGGAGGCACTAACTGGCACTGTTAGGTGGCGCTGACTGGCACTGTTAGGCGGCACTGATAGGCAGCACTGACGGGCACTGATAGGCGTGACAGCTCGTGAAGAGAGAAATGCCGATAACCGGCATATCCCTATTTACATGTGATCAGCTGTGATTGGGCACAGCTGATGACATGACCGAGCCGACATCTTCAGCTCTTTCCTTTGATCGGTGATCCGCTGTGTCTGAGGGACACAGCGTGCCACCGATTGCTGCTGCATGCCCATGGAGTCGCGCATGCGTGGTTAGAGTGGGAGGACATCATATAATGTCATCCCAGAACTAGAGAACCGACTTGCGCCCGTCATTACCTCATATGGTATATGAACTTATTGACCTTAGAGTATGCAATTGAAGTTATTTTGTAAGGCTCTGCTGACTATACCATACTCTGTAATTTGATACAAATCAAAATATTGATTATTGTTTATAAAGTTTCAAAATTAGTATGGTCACATATTCCTTTATGAATGGCAAGGGGTGAGAATGGTCCCTTAATACTAATATGTGTACTTTTGTTTATACCTTGTATTTCTAACCTGTTTATTTTCAGTCTAGAAAAACTCTCAGCAGAAACTTAGCAAAACAGAAACTATTCAAATTAGCCTACTTGTAGTTAGCAATTCATTAACTGATATCAAATCACAACTCAAATAAAACTGAACAATTCTGTTTTTACTGGGTAAATAAATGAGCAAATATTGTCTTAATTAAACATTTTTGTAGCCAATTTAAAACTGAAATTGCAGGAAATAAAGTTATTAAATAAAAGTGATAGAATAATGTGAAAAACAGTTGGGATTACAAATGTTATTAGCAATTAATTGTAGCAAAGAGTTAGTAATACTGTACAAATTATGAATTAGGCTCAAAGCAACAGTTTTAATGATGGAATGAAGACACTGTTCCTATTACTGACTTAAACTAGGTCTGGTACGGTCACCACTAGGGAGGGGTAAATCAGTTGGGTTTGATTTGCAGGCTGTTTGTTGACCTCATTGCAAAATCTGGAAATGTGATCTTTAATCCATACCTTATGGAAGTCAATGTGGGGGGAATCTTCAAAATAGGTTCTGGCCATTGGGTACAGCCATGGGGAAAATGTACCAATGCAAAAAAAAAGAAAAATTGTTAAGCAGGGAGAGGGTACTCCTTTTTTATGCAACTTTGTGGGTGTCATGGAAAACCACCATTCTGCTGTAATACATGCTCGGGAGATACCTTTAAGCTGTAGGAGGTATGCCACAGTCAGGGGTCAGGCTTGGAGACCAATAGCTATAGCAGTAGAGAGGTTCACACTGATTACCATGATAAGTACATGAATGGTCATACTGGCTGATGACACAGGTGGGTCTATGTACAAATTGGTCTTTATCAGAGCTCCTTGATATCAGAGATGGGTTTCACTGTGTGCTAGGGCCAGGTCGCAGTCCTCAGAATAGCCTCACCAGAAGGTAAGCAGAAGTGTAGTCAATAAACAAGCCAAAGGTCAGTAACAAGTGGTTGCAGGTTGGGGTCAAGTGGAAGTGTACTCGAGGAACAAGCCAAAGGTTGGTAACAAATGGGCAAAAGATAAGGACAGCTGCTGGTTCACAAGGAGCAACATATGAGCCAGAGAGAGCACAATAATTTGGCAAACAGGAAGTGCAGAGACGTGGCTTAAATCAGGACGTTCATCAGAGGAGCAAAGAATTCAAATTTCACCAGAAACGATATACAAGGCAAGATTATCCAAAGGATCAGAAAGGGCTGTCCAGCATATCAGGTGCCAGAGCGAGAGGAGCTACAGCTAGACGCCACAGAGGTCTCAGATTCAGATCCAGACCCTGACATGGTGTTTTAGAACAGTGTAATTCTCAGGGACATCGTCAGTGACACCATATTCTGATGTAAAATATTTTCCATGTATAAGACTTTGTTCACACTGATGTACTTAAAGTATTACTAAACCCACAACAGTAAAATCAGTCTGTATATGCAGTAAAACATGCGTGTTATACTCACTGTGGAATCTCACTGTGGGTTAATCCTTTGCATTGTGTAAAAATGCTGCTTGATACTGACTTCTCTGATCCTCCTTTTTTTCCAGTCTCTACCTCTTATTTCCTGATAAGACATATTGTGTGGAGACACTGCACATGCTCAGTTTTGTGTGTATTGCTAGAGAGGTTCAGTGATCAGCACTGGGCCAATCAGCACTGCCCAGACAGAGGTCAGGGGTTCTACATCCTCCTAGAGAAAATTCCTCCTACAAGCTTTAACCAGTGCTCGGCTGGCCACAGATAGAAGTCACAAGACTGCTCTAACTGCTGATGAGAAAAGGTATTTAGCAGTTTATGTTTACTAAAATAATTTCATTTCCATGTTGTGTGTACTGTGGGAGACCAGATATAGTGAATGCAGGGTCCTGGGTTTAGTAACATTTTAAGTGCACACCCATTCAAAGGCCATCTTTACCAACATGGTATGCACAAGTGTTCCATGAAGCCATGTGCAGGCAATCCCATTTATGTCAATTGCAATGGCTGCACAAACACAGCTGTTGTCCCAGTTTGACATTTGTGTGGGTGCAAGTGCGTGTCCCAGAACCCACACTGTCTATGACATGTACCCACACTCACTCAGATGTCAAATTGGGAGCAGCGGCTGTGTCTGTACAACTGCTGCATCCCAAGTGAAATGAATTTGACTGCCTGCATATGGATGCATGAAACATCTGTTCATCCTGTGTAAACACGGCCCTCGCACTGTTGTACACTTAAGTATGCCCATGTAAACGAGCCCTAATTCACTTTTTAGATTTTACTTTTAGCCTGACTTAAATATAGCAGCAGCAGGTCCCTAATATGATTCATTTAAAATTAAAAAAAATGTTTAAAGCCACAGGAAAGTATACCCTTTCAAAATAAATACATAAATACACAAACAAACAAATAAGCTAAAGCTCTCAACCACGTACCAATTGGCCAGTGGCAAAACAGTATCATAGTACAGCTTGTGATCTCTTTTTTTTTTTTTGCAGTACCACACTGTATTGTCCACAAAAATATTTCAAGACTATAATACAACATTCCACAAACTCATTCCCATCCCTGTATCCACAATTCTTTCTAAACTATTAAAAATTTAGACTTCATGAATGTGTTTGGTAGAAATTGGATAGTGTCAGGCCAGGACAGCACTTGAACAGGCAGAACATTGAAAGAGCTCTACTCTCTTTTTTTTACCAGCCATTTGGGTACTGCATGCATGACGAAACACGTCTATGAATCAAAGAACTTGGTGAGAGCAGCACCTCAATGATACAAGATGGCAACAAAAGGCCCACGCTCAGTCTCTCCAGACAAGGTTCTCAAAGGCCAAAGTGTGCTCCTCCCCCACCTCCATGAACTGTGAACTAGATACACGGCTTAGGTTGAGAATCTGTTCTTTTTTCACTGACCTTCTATTGAAGAGCCTAAAGCAGCTGCTTCTTCTGTCTACCTCTCAGTCTACCCCTACCTGAACTCCTCCTTGCTCCTCACTTTCCACTCTTCGCCATGGTCCACAAGATTCTCATTCTCTATCCACAAAAAACCTCTTAGGCTCCAAGCGTCAGGGAGTGAGGTATGATATAGGAATTCCTGCATATCAAGTAGGAAAGAAATTCAGCATGAGACCACACTGAGTAGGGACAAGCATGAGTTTCAACCTCACTGTTAGTCTCCTAACCCCACCCCATCATCTCCAGAAGCATCCTTGACCAGGCAGATGTCTCTCCTACAGCTGCTGGATTGGAATTAAAAAATCCCCTAATCAACCCCATGCCAAGAATCTTAATACCATCATGGCAAAACCACTGATTTTACAGCTGCTCCCAATTAATTCTGAAGAAGTCAGACTCCTTCTGTAAGTTTTTATGGCCTGTTCTGTATTACATTGGCAGGTATCCAGCAACCAATGTTTCCCAAAAGGCCACGTCTGCCCTCCATCAGCATGCATATGCATTTAGCATGTAGGGTTTTATTTTGCTTTATCTTTTTTCCAATATTTCTATTTGTTTTTTTCATTCATTGTAAGGCCATTCCTGCCCAGTTAAAGCAAACACTGACAGGAATGGTAATGCAACCTTGGAATTACTTGAAAATACCACACCCAAACACCATCTTGTCTCCAAAATATAAAAAGGGTTGCAAGATAAGGCTGCCAGAATATACACTTGCTTTGCAGAGGTGATGGCTTGATGGGTCAAACCTTGTAAGTCCAGGTAGAGATGGAAATGTTAAAATACCATCTCTGAAATGCAGGCAGGACCAAATTGAAACTTTTTATTCAAGAGTGGGAGGCCAACAGTCAATGAAACAAGATAGAGAATAAATATGATGATATGACCTCTGATAATGATGAAAGCCAAACACTGGTCCAAACTCACATATCTTACCACCTGCCATCAGTAATTTTTATGTTATTTATAAATGACTGGGTGTTAACTCTGGACCACAAGCTAGAGGTGGCCCAGTCTAACCTAAATGAGAATTTTGTTGGGTGCACACTGTTTTGTTGATAACATTCATTAACTATTGTGTGTTCAGACCAAACTACTATCCTGCCCTTCTGCATGTCAGAGAAGGCCTTCACTGCAGCAGGGTGAATTTGTGACTGAGAAGCTGCATTCTAATAACATGAGGTGAGGGTTCACTGTTTTTGGTCCACAGTGTTTTATAGTGAGATGCTACAACAATAAGGGCAACTCTTAGATGGACTGTTAACATAAACAGCCTGTTGAGGGCTCAAAAAAATGAAAGGAACACTTTTTAACCGGTTCCCACCCGGCCAATAGCACAAAAGCAGACGAAAAAACACCTCGTCCCTCCGGGTGGATGCCATGTGGTGAACTTTCAGGCATGCGCAGTGCGCCTGCCCGCAGGGCTGCTCTGTGGCGTCATCTGTCACCGGCCATGTACCTCGGACACGGCTGATGACAGATCTGTGTACCGACCCCGTTTCCAGTACCATGTGACCTGCTGTGACCAAACACAGCAGGTCACATGACAGTTGTATACAATGGATGGCTTCCTTTCATGCCATCCATTGTATACTAGTGTGTCTAGCTGTGAATGGTCACAGCGATTACATGCACAAGCTTGGCCAATCACAGCCCAGCTGTGTCATGTGATTAGCCATGGCCAAATCACAGCTAAGTGCTACTTTGCTATAAGCAAATTGTGTAAAAAAAAAAAA